CCTATAACCCGAGCACTTTCGAAAGGTGGACCTTTCTTCTTGAGGGTCAAACTGAAGAAGAAAGGTCCACCTTTCGAAAGTGCTCGGGTTATAGGGTTTTTACTCATTTCCATCAAGACTTCTTGAACCTACGTGTTTTTCTAACATCATGAATGTAGTTTACAAAATAGCTTTCTATTGGTTATAAACATGTACCATTGACAAGTAAGAATAAGTAAATAATATTTTCAAAAACATAAGAGTCAGGAAAAGCTTCTGTGGTAAGTGTAACAAATGTATTGATATCTCAGAAAATAAAAAAGGTGTGGAATTCTTATTTCAATTTATGGCCTCTCAATATCTATAACTGGTGTTTCTACTTGGTGGACATTCTGAAACCCATCTTAAGGTAGAAATTAAAAATCTAAACTTAAGATTTGAATTACAAACTATGCTTTGATGTCAAATTTTTTGACATATTAAAGTTATTTAATTATATTGTGAATGTAACTCTACAAGTCATGATGTGCTCTTCACCCAGCACCCATGCACATAGGGATAAAACATTATGTGTGCTGTTCAATAAAATAATGAAAATGTGGAACTTTCACAATGTATTACTTTTCATTAGATATAAAAACAAACTTCTCAATCTTATCAAAAAGATACATAAAAAAATATTAAAGCATATAATCTAGGATATAAGTATTACAATTGAATGGTTTTTATTGTTTAAAGATTACCTGAGAATTTTTTAAACTTTCATTTTTACAAATCATTTTTTCCTTCAACTTCTTGATTTCATCTGTTTTCTTCAAGGAAATCACATCAATATAAATATAAGGGTACGTAGAAAAAGTGCTATTTGGACAGCGCTTGACACACACCTGTTGAGAACAAGTAGATTATCAACACAATTATTCATCTTTATAAGAATTTAACAAATTAATGATAAAATATACACAAGGATGACACAGAAGTAGAGAAAAGTGCCCTAAGCAATCAGTGATAGAAACATTTGTAAAAAAAATACAACACACAAGAATAGAAAAAAAAGAATATTATTTGGGTAACTCCTAATAAAGCATATATAAAAAATCAGATCAGCAACATAATTTAGTTAGATAAATTTAATAAATTTGATAAAAATACATATAAAAGTGTGAAGTATGTTAGACATTGACTTATCTATGGATAAATAAGAATTTATAAATTAGCAAACTTTATAATGTAATATCAGAAGCTAGTATTTTGGCCTACACATTTCTGAAATAGATGACAGAAGTGAAATTCTAAATTATAACAATTTGTGTCAATATGCATGTTAAAGTGTTACAAAACATTTATAATTGATCAACTTCTGAACACAAAATGTATGGTTTCAAAAGCCAGTAATTAATAGAGTGACAATTTTATAATGTCACTATAGTTAGTGGAATTACACTGGAACTAGATTTTTACACTTACTGAGATTACATTTAGCCTAGTCTGGTAAGAAAAGGCCCAGCTGAGAGCATCACAGCCAGAGTCAAAGGATGAGGAATGGAACAGGGGACCAGAAGAGAGGAAGTATAGAGTTGAGAGCAGAGGAAAAGGTGTCCATGACAGATGTGCCCAACCATGAGTAAACCCAAAAAAAGAACTTGACATGAAGAGACCATTCCATGAGTGGAAAGCAGTCCTGATGAGAGAGGTATGGGGGTCTGAAACATAATTCCTGGCACATAACAAGCAACAAGACAGATTTGATGGGAATGAGCCCAGAAGAGGAGGTCCAATGCCCAAATGCAAAGACACCCAAATTGGGTACCCCCTTAATGGTTGATGTTAAAAACAACCATGGAATTTTTGGAGAGGATTCTGACCAAGTGATCCATGTAAAGAGGTAGGAAATGGGAACATATCTGAGGAGCAGTGAGAAGTTCAAGCATGTTGATGTGAAGTGAACTCTTGTCCTGAGTCCAAACACCAAGAGTTATGTCATTGTTCAGAGATAGATATTAACCAGAGAGGGAAGCAACTGTGAAGAGATGGAGATCCAGTGTTAGGGGTGGTAAGGGAACATTGGATGTAGTATTGGCATAGTTTAGCCAGCATGATAAGTTCTTGAGGAAAGGAAAAAGGAGGTTCACAACCGAGGACAACAGGTTCCAAGAAGGAATCCATTGCTCTCACAATGTCTGTTGATGAAGGTGCAAAGGAATGAAGGGCTACAAAGAAGCCAGAATCCCCAAAAACTAAAGAATATCTTGATGAGAATAAGAAGTGCAAATCCTGGTGACCAGACATTCCATGGCTTGCAAGCAAGCAAAGGAAAGAAAGCTGAGCCCAGCTGAGACAAGAGTTGAAGAAAATACCCAGATGTACCAAATATCATGTGAGCATAAGGAAGAACTTGGATATTTGAAAAGATAATGAGCTGACACTAAGTCAAAGGGAAAAGCATAGAATTGGAAGACATGATTCCTATGGACAGAATGTAGAAACAGTCTGGAAGATGGGACAATTGGGATGTGTAGAAATGTGTCTGACACATCAACCTTGGTCATCTGCAGACTGGGTGAAAATGACCACAGGAGAGAAATGTAATTCTCTAACTGGAATGGTGAAATGACCAGAAATCAGTTGTGAGACAGTGGGTTGATCACCAGATTCTAGTCTCTTATCTTCTTGTGGACCACAAAGAGATGAGAGTAAAAACCCAGTGAAGGGGTGTACACCTTTCCGATGAAGTGTTCAGCCAAAAGATCTGATACAGTATCCTTTAAAAGCTGAAGATAGATGGGGTCAGAGGGAGGAGAAGGGGAAATGGGAAAAGGAGAGAAGAGTGCATAAAAGTGGAGAGACTGTGGGAAAGAATATGAAGACCAACAGCTAGCAAAGAGAGAGAGAGATGGGTACCCACTAAGCTCAACTCAACAGGAGAATCACTTACAAGGAAAGCAACAAACCAGCTGTCAGGTAGTGGAAAGACAAGAAAAGACCTGAAAGCCAGAATGAGAAGGGTAGGGATAGACTTATGGAGTCAAGGAACTGGAGTTGAAAGGCAAAGTTGAGAAAGACAAAGAACATAGAAAGATAATGTGGACAGAAGTCATGCAACTTCTGCCCAGGTCTTCAGTGAAACATGAAAAACACCAAAGACTTCTGGGTTGAAGAAAGGGAGCCTGATGTAGACACATACATAAGAAGTAGGAATATGTACATTAACAAGGAGCTCACCTAGTTCAACTGCAGTGTTATCAAGTAAGGAAGATCAGATCAGAAAAAGGAGAACAGATGAAGGTGGCAAAGAGATAGGAATGAACATCTCCAAAGAACCCTACTAGAGTACAGTGAAGTGCCCCCAACAAAAAGTGGAGATAAAAAAAGAAGGGTGGTAAGAAAAAGATGAAAATGGGAAACTAGTGAGAAAAAATAGAAGGCAAAGGGTCCATTCCCAAAGCAGATACAGAACAAGATATATTAAATGACATAGATGATAGATAATTAAAAGAACATACCTGAGAAAGTATATCCAAAAAAGAGTTTGGACGGTTGAGGCCATTCTTAGATTTGTAAGGCATTACCCAAAGCAAAACGGGTTAAAATTGACATCCAGTTAGCCACTCACAACTGAGAAGAAAGAACATCAGCTGAAGGGATGGGAGGAAGAAACCAAGTAAGCATGAAGTAATCTACAAGACACTGTATAAAGGCTGTAACATCTCAAACAGTTAATGAGCCTCCAGAAGCCATAGTGGATATTGGGCCTCTGAATGTAACTTCGTCACTCACACAGAACAGGAAGTCACTGCCAATTGAGAATTTGTGAAAAAAATTAAAGCTTTTGAAACAAAAGTCAAAGAAAATGAAAAGCAAACTTTTGTTAACAAATGCAAATCTCATCAAATTGGACGCAGATAAGAAAATTTGAACACATCTGTTCAATGCAATTCCAAGGAAAAGAATGAAGTTATAATGAGTGCAAGTGCATAGGGGAAGTTACTGCATATAGTGCCTTATTGGTGGAAGGCTACTGTCACACGATGATGATGATGTCATCATCACCAGCACAGTTCATGTTAAACATATGAACTTAGGTGGAATTTAGCTGAAGGCAAGTGGCATGCAAATCTCATAAGCAGACACAAGAAGGAAATACCATTTGGAGGTTATGTCACACTCCTACTGATAGAGGACTATTGTTGCATGATGACATCATCACCAGCACAAATCATGTGAAACACATAAATTTAGGTGGAAGTTAGCTCAAAGCTAGTAGCATGCAAATCTCATAAGCAGTTGCACAAAGGAAATACCATTTCTGTGTGACAGGTGAGTTATCATTTTGGAATTATATATGTTTAACAGGCCATATGATTCATTTTTAAGAAAAATAACTTATATATATATTGTAATGTGAAAATACAAGTTATTATAGACTCAATGTTCAAAAAAAAATAGATTTTATACTCAATTTATTTAGCAAACAATTTTCCAACCTAAATCATTCATAAAATAATAATATTATTGGAACCAAAATAAATTCCCAATGTTTTACTAAAGAATATTTAAAGAAATTTCAACGTTTCTGATAGGTTTTGTTTAGTTACAGCAAAGACCTATAGCCTTTTTTCCAAAGTCCTGTTTTTAACATATTTTTCATGAAAACAAAAGTATATACGTGTGGTTCAGATTAATTAAGAAAAAATATAAGTTTTTATAGGTTTCCTACCTTATTTCTTTGGGAAACAACTAATGTTTCAAGTTTTATAAGTCATTTTCACAAAATAATAGGAACACTTTCAAAATATACTGTAATTGTTCGATTATAATACACATTTTTTTCGCTAAAAATTTATCTAGAATTTAGGGTGCATATAATATATAGTAACAAATCTAAATATACTTTTTTATACAGCCAGTTCAGACCAACTTTTCTGACGTATTGTGAACAATAATGAAGATTTACTAGAAATGTTGCATTTTGATGGTATGCCTTATTAATTCTCTCTGCTTCTAAGGTATAAGTGATAATTGTTTCCTGTTTTCTTTCATTTTCAATTTTTGAAATAAAATTATCAAGAAGCTAAGTCTTGTAAATTTTAAGATTTATTTACATGCACACATAGAGATGTTTCAAAATACAAAACTAGTTATCACTATTTTACATTTCATATTCAAAACTACAAATCATTTTCATTAAAACCTTCAAATTCTGAATCTGAATCACTATCCTCAAATAGTTAGTGCAACTTCTCTACAAAGCAAACTTGCTTTCGGCAATTTTACAGATAGTCTAACTTTTTGACAATGTTTATTTGCTGGTTGCAATTGCAAAAATTGCAAGCACTTCTGTAAACATGCAATATTCTTTTCATCAAAGGGTTACTCTAACCACAGTATTGCAAAATTCTAGGAGTATATTATTTATGGTTATAAGGCAAAATTGACTTCTTGTTCATGAAGATTACAGTGTGTATTATATTCAGAAAATTACAGTAGGCTTAAATAGGTTTTATATGTTTATTGGAAGACCTGATTTAATACCAGCAGGGTTAATTCTGAAATTTAAAAACTATTTGTTTATTGAAATGTTTTAATGAGAATAAAGAATGATACTAACAAATTCCCACTCCCTAACTATTTATCTTCATAGCCATATTTTAAACCCACCTGTGGAGTTGGGCAGCCTCGCAGAACGGAAGATATGCCTCGTATGCATTTAGTTAGATCAAAGAAAAACAAGTAAGGCTTGTCTCTGAAATAAATCAAATTCCAGTTTCATCTAGAAATCTTTAAAAAAGTATCAACTAACAGACATGGTATAATTAATATCAAACAAACTATATAAATTGAAACTTAAGACCATATGCTCAAGATGCATGGCCAAGAAGTATGAAAGGTAAAGCACAACCAAAAATAACAAAGTATTCTTAGAATTCCAGTACATAAATAACAGGAAAAACAACAACTAAATAAGATGTTCAGTAATAAAAAGGCTGCAAAATCTTGTTTTTCTTTAAACTCACACCATACATTGTGAAATGTGGATGGTCATTAATACAAACTCAGGATTGTTAACTTTAGTTACAAAAACTAAAACCTTTAAAAAATTATATAATAAGTAAAATTAACACAGCTGATTAGTGACAATGGGAAAAAAAGGTAGCCAAATGCCTCGTCATCTAATTAGTGACGCGCATGAATGGATTAACGAGATTCCCACTGTCCCTATCTACTATCTAGCGAAACCACAGCAAAGAAAAATTACTGGAAATCTCACAAGCACAGCATATGAGAATAATGATAAGGTCTTCCTTCAAAGAAAAAGTAAAACTAAAGGCTTGTGATGATAATGACTGAAAACAACTTTTTCTAGGAAATACAGTAAAAATATCTGTTTATCATATTTTAATTTTGTTGGGAAGTCATATCAAGATCCTAGTTTCAATTCATGAATGTTCTTTTCCTGCTAACTCCTTACTAGTTACTGTAAATTTGGATGTTTTTTAAACTTCAATTCCATGGCAACATGCAATCATGAAAATTCATTAAGATAAGAATCTTTCTTCTCAACAGAAGATAGTTAGCTTATACCCAGTGACAGTAGCCCTTATTTATCTTATACTGAGACTAGATATGTGATAAATAGCAGTTTTGGTCAGATATTGGATTTTGGATATCCAGCTCCAGATACTCAAGCAGGTTTAGATATTTTTGGATAGCAGATGTGAACATACATACTGAAATTGTATCACAGGTCTGAACTACCACTTCATTATCATAAGTATTAAACTAGCTACTTCAGCGTTTTTTTTTGTTCTTTTTCCAGGGGTGGTGGATAAAATAGGGATGATGACATGCTAAGAGAAAATGTGTCACGTGGGTCACACTAGTGGAAATTCATGATCTTGTTTTTATAGGCCTTGTAGAATTAAGAACTTAAAACTTGTATACTATTAAAATATAGATTATTAGCTAAGATTTTATGCTATTCTAGTTGGTATAACATAAACAAAAAGTAGTTCAATAAAATTTTCAATGTAAGACACTAAAACCTTGTGTCATGCACAGTAAAAGATACTTGTGGGGATAGAAGTAACTCCATGTATTCATGGAGAAATTTTTAGTGAAAATACATTAAAAATTCTGATTTTTTTGTCTACAAAAAACTTGTCATGCTTACTGAAAGCTTGGGAAATTTTGTGAAAATACACAAGTTATAATGTTCCTACACTGAAAATATATTTCCAACAGGTACTTACTTTTACTTACATACACAGCTCTTCTCTATTTGTAAAGTCTTTTCACATGCCACAAGCCTTTCACTCCCACATATCCCTCGGTTAACATGGTTTAACCAATTCATGCATGTAAATCATCATGCAACAAACCTCCACCAATAGAAATGTTTCACACACGTGACTCATGAGACTCCATTTATGCTATTCTACCTAACTATCATTTCAAGTTTAAGCAGAAAACTAAGCACCAATGGATACTGGAAAGGAAGGGAGGGAAGTTTGAACAGAAGTAAGTGCCTGTCGTAAATATATTTTCAGTGTAGGAAAATTATAACCATCAACAAGGTACCTTACTTCCACTCACATACATAGTTAGAATCCCACATTGAATAGGTGGAGGGACCAGTGCAAGGGAGAAAATAGAAGCATCCCTCGAAAGTGTCCAAAGGACACCCCCAAGAGAGAACCCTCTATTAAAAGAACAATACACAGAGGACCACACCACTTCTGTACCAGGTATACTCTTCACCCAGATGTAGAAAAGATGAAACTGATCCAGGCAGACAAGCTTGAAAAGCACATCCCAATGTGTGTGAAAAAAGAGATTTGCCCCAAGGTGCAGCATGGCTAGGGTGCAACAGAATGTACATGGTAAGTCAACTGCATCTGAAACTCAACCACCAGGAATTGACATCCATGTGGGGGTAGGATGAAGATCATACTGTCAGTAAATCAACTACAATCCAAAACTCAACCACTGGGAACGACATCCAGGTGAGGGTAGGAAAGAAGATCATACTATATCACCTCAAGTTCAGCCAACTGGAGAAACAAATCCCACCACCGATCAGTAAACAGGGCACATGTGAGCAGAATGAAGTATGTATATATCCCCCTCAAATCAAACAGACCAGAACCACCTCAAGTTCAGTAACATCCTCAGCATAAAGACATTGAGGGGTAGTGCAAGAGGAACAACCAACAAGTGCACCCACCGTGATCCACAACACTGGGGTAGTGCACTCGAGATGAATTAAGTGAGAGGCCAGGGACACCCTGATCACATGTGTGAGGACTTATGCTGATTGGTTTAGCTCTAAACCCAAAACTCAACTGCTGGAAACCAATATCCATGTGAGGTTAGGATGAGGAATCCCAATTGCACAAAGCGTGAGGACTCTTCTTCAGGAGTGGAGGAACACTCTCTCCACCACTCCAGGGACTGGGAACTGGGTGTGGTAAGGACTCCCTAGCTCCACTAGTAGAACCTGGGGGTAATGCACATTAGGGAGTCCTGAGAAACAGTGCTCTGGAAATAGTGCAATAGGTGAACCAAATTCCCTAAATTTTTAAAAGCAAACTGACCCCGATTTATGCAATCCGATTATCGGCAGGGACAGGCAGAATCCCTTTAGCTTTACTCATGATAGTCCATAAGTAGTGATCCATGATATTATGGTAATATCATCCAGTAAGTGCCTAGATGATCTTATAGAACACCTCAATTCTACAAAGCCTGTTGCAACCAGTAGTGAGTATAGTCAAATAGGTTGCTAGTGCAGAACTGGATTGATAAAAGCACACCTGACTGGGCAACACTAGCCACAGAGTGTGATCCAGTGAAAGCAAGATGTAATGGACCCTGGAAAAGAAAGACAATCTGAGATTACTCCCTCCTCCATATAATCTGGCAGATATTGTTAAAATGGTCACAGAGAGTAGTGGAAAACCCCCAGAAAAAAACTGAAGAAATATTAAGAAAACCTTAATATTTTGATTAAATAATGAAAAGGCCATTTGAAAAGAAGGCTGGATAGCATTGGGGAGTCCAAAATCTTCAGATGTTTGGCATAAGTAAAAGGAGATGAAAAAGTTGTCTGACCTAAACGACAGGAGACAAAGCTAAACCCAAGTAAAATATAGGTCAAAACATGATATGTTGAGCATGTTTGGTAAAGTGGTTACAAATTCCTTTTGAGGCACACTCCAGGTAACTAGAGACACTAAACTCCAATAAGCTGGGAAAAGTCTTGGTATAGAATGTTGGGATGTGGATGCCTCAATAAAGATAGCCAAAGAGGAAGATGCAGAGGTGGACTCACATGAAGAAACTGTAGAAGAGGAAATCATGGCTAAGCCAGCCAATCTAGGCTTGCGACATCTCGCAAGTAGAGGATTGAAATATAGCCAGAACTCTGAGTAACAGATGAAGTAAGTGAAAGTAATAGATGTTCAACCTAATCCAAGCAGGAATGAATGTATCTACCACCCAAGCCTGAAGATGAGGTAGTGGAGACTCCAAAACTTGTAGTTGAGTGTCAAAAGCTATCATCAGAGGCACAAACTGAGAACAAATCTATCGAAAAACCTTACAACAGAGAATTGATCAGAAGATAGTGAGGACTGAGACTGACAATCTGCTATGAAATCCATCACCCCAGGAAAAAAGCAAGCCAGGAGGCTGATATGATTGGAATAGGCCCCATAGAGAAAGAACCAAATTTAAGAGAGTACTGAAATTGATGAAATGTCTCATGAGGATATTCACCTGAAAGAGATCTAGACCTTGCACTATTGCCTTCTGGACAGCAAGAAGTTCTCAACTATTGATGCAGAATGAAAATTCGTCCTCTATTCATATACCCTGGAATTGCTGACCTTGAAGAAGCATACCTCATCCCCTGAAGTGAAGTATCTGTGAAGAGATAAACTATGGAGAAAGGGGCAGTATAGATTTACACACACACACACACACATATATATCCACACCTACAGATACACATACATACCAACACACACATTAAAGACAGGGTTGATCCAAACCAACTAACACTCAAAAACTAAGATGTTGCTCCTGATGAAAAAGACTGGAAAATCCAATGGATTGAAGTTTCAGATCCATTAGTGGCAATGGGACCCACTGAAGGAATAACATGTGTCCTCGTCCCAAAAAATTCAATAGATTTGAGGGAAGCCCACAACCTCAGAGATAGAACTACCCCTGTAAGTAAGAGACTGACTGCCTGTTCCATAGTCTGGAGCTGGATGGGAGGTGGATTACCCAGGAGTAAGACATGGTGAAAACTTGTACAACCTAGCAGAAGATATATGGTGCTGATGCTAAACCAAAGGCCAGATCCCTGAACTGCAGAACTTGATCCCTGTATACAAATCCTAGCTAAAGGCAAGATGGATTCACTATAAGAATGTAGAGAAATGCCTCAGCAACCTCAAACTTGAGCATTACGGACCTGGTGAAGAATGCCAACATAAGGTGAGAAAGGACTCCACTGTGGACCAGGGAGGAAAGAATAATGGGACGAAATAAGAAAGAATGATGGTCATCCTCGAATCTCCCCTTGTCTCAGGCACAACAAATAAACAGGAATAAAATCCCAGAATAATGGGATCAACTGTCACTACCACCCACGTGATCAGTGACTCTGATAGCTGTGAAACAAAAATCCACACCCCACTGTTGAGGTAGAGGTGGAAATAGCACAGGATGGGAGGATAATGGAGGTGGAGAATTGAATGGAAAGACCAACCTCGATACCGGAACCCAAAGTACCCATGGATCTACAGTGAAGGAATACCAGGTGCCCATCAATACTTGTAACCTCACTTTAACCTCTCCCCCCCCCCACACACACACATTCCTAGGTTGATACCAATGCCATTGGTATCAGTCAACCCAAGTGGAGTGGCCCTGAAACCAAGTTCTGAATCTATTGCAGCTGATAGACAAAAAGAAGGTCGAAATGTCAACAACAAAGCAAACGGGTGATGGCAATTTGCAATACAAATGCCTCTAGGACACCCGCAAATATCACATGATGATAAAAAGAAGCCATGTAACACCCAGAAACTATTGCAGGTAGACAAAGTCCTTTCACCAATGAATCTCTACAGAAAGAACAGAAGCAGTCAATCTGACCAAGGAAGAAGTCAGTAGGAGACCCCATTCATCTGCAAATTGATGTGGGGACCATTGATTGGCTACCAACGGTATTCAGGGGAAGAAACATTACACAGCAAACAAATACAAAAAAATGATTGATTCAAAGTGATCACAAAGTGGAACCCCACATATCCAAAAGTAAATGATTTTAGTATGTGGAATTGAAAAGCCAAAGCATGCCAGCAGACAAATGAGGGTATAAGGTATATCCCATCACGTAATAAGGCAGTAAATCTCTCAGGATGACCAGGAATATCAGGTAAAGAAGGAAAAACTAAACAGTCCCCCCCCCAACAGTTCCACCATCAAGGGAGGAGTAGACTCAAAGGTCACAGAGAAAAGCCCCAAAATCCCATAAACCCAAATGACTAATTGAAGAAAAGGAGTAGGAAGTGGGTGGTCCAAATTGGACTCGTGATAAGCTAACTTAGGAAAGAAAAATGTCATAAAAACCGAGTCCAAATTCTCCCTAGAATAACCAGGGTCAACAAAAAGAACTTCAGAGGCCTCAGGATAAAACACTCCTGGGCTGAATGTATGTCTCAGTCTCGCAACAGATAGAAACACAGACAACCTCAACTGAGAGTGACCCCCCTCCCTCCCCAACTGTAGAGAGACACTACATAACAAAGGAGGAATAGGGGAGGTCAGATTAACCACCTTGCTTACAACGGTAATACAGGAATTCATAACCACAAACATCGCGTCTATTTTTTGTTGTTGTTAAAGGAAATTATAATTATGTGGAAATCCACAACATCACGCAAAAATCACAATCCATAATGGAATGAACCATAGCACTTTGTTAGTAAAAACCTTGACCAATACTTTGTCAAGAAAAGTATTTACATTATATGAATGAGGTGTTTATATACAGTGTCCGGATAGATGGCGCATTGACATGGGTGGAGGGATTTACAAGTTAGATATTGCCAAGGGCATATAAGTGGAGTATAAAAGACTGGAGCATGTGAGATCAATACTTAGATAGGCAAAGCCAATGTCGAGGAAGAGCTAAAGTGGCAGCAGAGGGTAAGTATGTTTAGAAATGGAACAAAAGAGCAAAGAATATAAACAGTATATAATATCAGATACTCCACATGATGCTAAATGCACAGGAGTAGCCACAAAAATGGACCAGTAGAGAACAAGAGTACCTATTACAATTTGATGGTAAACAAATGGTACAAGACAGTGTCCCAACCCAGAAGAACCCAAAAGCAAAGAAGCCACATGTGGAAGGAAAGAACTGAAGATGTCAAACACCCCAACATGTGGGGAAGGAGAAGGAAGTAGCCCATGAAAATCTCCTAAATATAGGTGGAACAATTAAGAAAGGAGATGTAAGGCAGACATGTCCAGTAGGAAAGTCCATAGGGTAAAACGAAGCTGGAAAACTAGGTGGGTGATAAAATGGATAGGATGAACAGAGACTGCCCACCATACAGGCAACATATTCTGAGTACATAGAATCAGGAAGAAAATCTGCCTGATAGTAAGTGAAGGCAAAATGAACCAAAGCCTGTGTAGAGAGAGGCATGCAAGTACCCTCTCCCAAAAGAGACAAAAATGCTCATCATAAAACATAATTTCTGGAGAAGAACGAGAAAATTATACTGTGAAATGTGTCAAAAAAAGGCTTAGGTAGGCCAAGCAGACTCTGCAGTAGAGGCCTGTGAAGACAAGCCATAATCAGGTGGAGGAAAACTGACAAAATCTAGATCATCCTGAACAGGTTCGGCCTTTGTTGGAGGAAGGCGAGCAATATCAAGAGAAGGTAGGGCAGCCCTAAATTAATTGTAAAAAGTATAAATTATAAAGAATTATGAAAAAGAAAAGTTGATATAATGTAGATTTGCGTGTGTTGTGAAATAAACATATGTATTAGATGTTATGTGTTGAAAAAAACAGGATACTTAACCTAATGATCAATTTACACGTAAGATGAACTACAGGTAAACTGAAAATAACAGACACTTGTGAAGCCTAATCAACTGAGCAGGACAAAGTATATCACTAATCTCAAACTTAAAACCCTAACCTAACAATAAATATGTAAAATATTGAGAGAAGAAGATTGTGCAGACCTCAGCTCCAGGGGTCGACACAGACAAAGGTAGTGTAAAGAAGTATAAAAGATAAATAATAATGAAAAAGAAATAAACTTGATATTGTAAAATTAAGTAACAGTGTATTGAAAATAACATATGTATAAGATATGATGTATTGAAATAAATAATAAATAATAATGAAAAAGAAATAAACGTGATATTGTAAAATTAAGTAACAGTGTATTGACAATAACATATGTACGAGATATGATGTATTGAAAAAAAAACAACATCAATATAGTTAACCTAATTTATGATATACCAGTAAGATGAATTATAGGTAAACCTAAATAATGTCTTATCTTTCCAAAGTTGGCGAACCGTATTTCAAAATGTGTGGACCCCCAAATTTGAGGCGAGGCCCAATGAAGGTCAACTCATTGGACGATCAATCTCCCGACAAAGTAAGGCCCTAAATTTTCTGTCAAGAACCACCACCTTAAGTCTGTATAAATGTGCTGATAAAAGATGTAACCCCAAAGTGTTTATGTTTATGTTAAAAAACACTTGAAGAGACCACAAACTAAATGACTGAACACAAGCACTGCCAAATGTGAAGATAGTTAGGCAGAATAGCATACAGGTAGTCACATGGGTCATGTGTGTGGGGGGGCACATCTATTGGTGGAGGTTTGTTGCATGATGATTTACATGCATGAATTGGTTAAACCATGTGAAATGAGAGGTATGTAGGAGTGAAAGGTTTGTGGCATGTGAAAAATTTTGCAAATAGAAGGCAGCATTGAACGAGGATAGCTATGTATGTGAGTGGAAGTAAGGTACCTTGTCGGAAAACACATTAAAAGTTATAGTATGGAAACTCTGAAATCCATGAACTTGGCCAATTCAACTAAGTCTGTAGTGAGAGAGTTAAAATAATAATACAGGTAATATTAAACAATATGTAATACAACAATGAACATGTTTTTTCTTCGATAAAAAATTGTTCATAGTACACTTTTTTTAATAAAAATGCATATTGAATATTAATGAAAAATTAATCACATATTTTCATTCATCAAGATAACTTTTGACAAAAAGTATACATAAAAAATTTCATTACATGTAACACAATTGATAAAAGTTGTGGACACAGTCTTTCACACAATGTTTTCACAAATAATATTATAGACAGCACTCTAGTTACCTACTATAAAAACAACTACATTGTGTGTGTGTGTGTGTGTGTTAGAAGTTTATTGCACTTACACTTATTAATAATAACAAATCATGTATAACAACCATTAAAATAGAGTTACTATAAGAAAACTTCTCGTCTGCTTCTTTTATGTGCTATTTGATTGAGTTTAAGAATTATTGTTTACTTACTCAAATTCTCCTTTTCCACAAATTCTACCTTCTGAATCTGTTGGATATAGCAGCTGTCTGGGATCTCCATGCTTATATGCTGTTAGAAACAAAAAAATGAATGATGAAGGACAAAAAATTTTATTCCTTTACAAATCTATGCAAGAACATTTGTACTTAAGAAACTTGAGCAATTTATTTTTCTATCATGAAAAGTCTTACTCATGAAACCTACCCATCAAAATACTAAACACATTTCATGCTCAAGAACTGGTATAATTAAAAGTTTCATTTCAAGTCATCTAAATTATTTTAAGTATATCATTTCATTTTATCCTATATTTATATGCTCACTACAGTATGCAAGACTGTTTTTACTATTTACTTGGTATTTTCAAAGTTAATATGTTCATGCTAACTTACCAAACCCTGCAACAACAACCCAACCAGCAATAAAAGCAAGGAACAAGAAGAGGCATAAAATATCAGTGCAGCTTCTAAAAACAAGAAAAGAAAATTTTTTCATTCCTTGATTACAAGAAATGAGGGAATGATTTAAACAAAGCAAAATAAAATGTTCTGAAAAATAAAATATTATCTCAAAGATAGGAACAAGTCATACTAAATATATAAATAAAATAAAAGCTAACAAATTGTGTATATTTTTATATTAGGAGAATACAATTATCATACAACCCATTTCACTATTATAGTGACCAGTAATAAACCAGTAACTGTTAATCTGAGCTATTTACTACTAGTAAAAAAAAAAACATAGTTGTGGCTTAATTCCACAGTACTCTGGACTTCATTTGTTATTTCTTGGTTACTTGGTTATTTCTTGATTACTTCCAAATAAGTTACAAAAGATTATATGCCACCTTATAACTATGTGAATATGATTAAAGTTGTATAGGATAAACAACTTGTTCATTAGCTTCTGCTAACATGGCATATTATCAAATGAGCCAAATAGAGTTTTACTGTGTGATAAAAAAACAAATAAGCTACATATAATTAGCAAAAACAAATCATACATGTTATTTTTGTACAAAAATACACAGTATTAAATACAGAAGTTCACATTCAATGTTTCATTCATGAACATGGCTTTAAATAATGATTAGAACAGGAAAAGCATTAGAAACTTTTGTAGATATCAGAATATTTTAGTAATATAAATAAAAAAACTAACACTAAAAGTGTTGCTGTTGACCAACATAGAGCATGGGTGCCAACTTCATAGGAAATCAGTCAATCTTATCACGTTCATAGTATTTTCATCAACTGTCAACACATTTTTAAATACATAAACTGTATCCTACACAGATAAATGTACTTGTTCCTGATGTTAAGAAAATGGTGAAACTTTAGTGCATAGATAATGTATGTTAAACTAAATAGCTATTGCATGAATATACAATAGTTGTATTTTTCTATCACTGCAATAAACTTCAAGTTCTATTTATTCAAAATGTACGTGTCTTCCATCAAATGAAAAATAATTTAGTAAAAGTCTGCTATTCAATATTAAGTGTCAAGAATAGAATCAATATAAAAAAGTACAGATATAATATGACACAATTAAAATTAAAAATCATTCTAAACATCTTTCAACAATTATCATATATTCTGGTGTATAAGTTGATATGGAGTGCAAGTCAAATGGGTTAAATTTCTCATTTGTTCAACCTTCATTCACATATGTCAAAATGGAGTATAAGACAAGATTAGATCAAGTAGAGTACCACTGTGTTGTATACTGTATGCCAGCAGAAGAAATGATGGGAGATGTACAGATTTGAAGATGGTAAAAGTTAGCCAAAAAATGGAGAATATGGAATAAAAATATAATGAGTTAAGATTCTATTGTTTCTTTTAGCACATAATTCAAACAACAAATGAAAAACAGAATCAAACTTCTGACAACTGTGAAATTGTCTAGGCATTTAATTACTAATAATAATTAGACCATTCAAGTATGATTTTAATTACAGAGTACACATTTGATCACCACAGATAGTTACTCAACATCAGAGAAATTGTCAAATTGCTCATTTTCTGTATCCAAGTGGAAGGTAGCCACCAAATCAAGGACATGCTAGGTGCAATTTTCTCCTCATCGTCCATCTCGTAGTCTTCTTCAGGCTCCTCTTGTCAACTAATAATTCCAGTCTTTATGAATCCATTCACAATTACTACCTGGAGCACTCTGTCCCATGCATTCTTAATCCACTGTTAACCTCGGCATAGGAAGCATGACACAAACAAATACTGAAAATGGTCCAGAGGGCATGGGCTTGTTGTTGGTTGGTTAATTAAGCAGATCACATGCTGATCTTCACAGCAAACTTGATTTTTTTATTTTGAAACATTGATAAACTTTGATGAATGATCCTTAGATAAGTCAATGTGGTGTATAAGTTGAGGCTCAAGCAAAAATCTTTTAAGAAGACATTGTGGAGGATGATAAAAAAAAGAGCTAAAAAACATGCAAAGTGCTGTGCATGGAGTCATGAATGGAATTATGGAAAAATCTGAAGATGATCAAAGTCCTGATAAGAAATGCCAAGATTCCCACAGAATGAAAACCCAATAGGATAGTAGTTCAGGCATTTCAACTGTGTTGTCTAAAATCAGTTCTTATGTGAAAGACCAGTAAAAGGATTTAAAAAGCAGAGCACACCAGTACAAAATTAACAAGCAAATCTTAACAACAAAGCATCTGGATCTGTTAGTCAGTTTTCAGAAATTTTCCAGTACCTACCATCTTCCCATCAAAAAGGGTATTTATACTGTAGATATATAAAGTGGCATAGAAATTTATTTTTTTTGCCAGGTTTAAGGAGTGACTTTCAATGAACCAGAAACTGTCATGTATCACTTACACATAAAGGGTATTTTTTTTCAGTAACTAGTGATAAACTATTGATTTGCACAATACCATAACTTTCCAATTATAATAAGCTACCAAGTAAAATACACACTTTAATCTTCACAGACAAAGAATGAACTTCATCTTATCATCTAGGCTTTTGCAATATTGTGGTCAAAGTAACTCTTTGATGACAAGAATGCTGTATGTACAGAGTACTGCTTGATACCTTTGGAATCACAGCCAACAAACAAGCATTGTAAAAATTTTAAGAGTATCTATAAAATCACAAAAAGTGAGCTTGTCTTAGTGTTTGCTATAGTTGCAAATAAATGTTCTCAAAAATTTATTTATCTGGTGTTCATTAGTCATGGTCCTCTGCAACAACTTTGCTACAATTTGGTACACGTAGTTTACTCTAAAACATTTCCTCCCTGTGCATACATAAAAAAAGACATTTTAGATTTTATAAGAACAATTTAAAAATACACCAGGAAATCATGGCCTAACACAATAAAGCCACATTGACTGTTTGCAGTCATGTACTGACACTTAGTTCAGTGTTTAAAGAGAATGGGGGCATTTTTATTTTGTGAAGTTAATTTAAAAATACATCAAACCAATCATGAAAGAAATCCACTTAACTCTCTCGCTATATGGACTCAGCCAATTTGACTAATCACGTGACCCGAAATTTATCTTCAGCATTTCCATACTATAACTTTTAATGTATTTTGTGCATCTTCATGAAATTTTTCAAGCTTTTAGAAAACATTACAAAATCAGAATTTTTAATTCAGTATATTAACTGAAATTTTGTTCCTGAATATATAGTAGTGATGCCACTTATGGTGACAATGAGATATTAGAAACACTGCACCAACTGTTCAAGGACAGTGACTCAGATTCCGAATTTGAAGGTTTCACTGAAAATGATTTGTAGTTTTGAATATCACACGTAATGTAACAATAACTAGTTTTATATTTCCAAACATTTCTAACTGTGCATACAAGTAAATATCAAAAATCACAAGACTTATCATGTTTAAAGATACTGAAAATGAGAAACAATTCTCATTAATGCTTTAGAAACAAAAAGAATTAATGAGACATACCATCAAAACACAATAACCTAACTTCTAGATAGTGAAAAAAAAAATGTGTATTATTTTCATAAAATTATAGTATCTACTTTATTTTATTTTTGAAAATGAAAATTTAAAAAAATTTTAAATGGAAATT